AGGATCGATCTCTTCAGCCTAGAGCCATTAGTACGAATTTGCACAAGTGTACAAAGGTATCGCATAGGGGATTTTTCATCAGCACGCCTTCAGATCAAATCTCTATCTATTCTATTAGCAAGGTCATAATCCACATCTCCAAACGAACCAGAAGAGTCCACTACGCTTTGCTGTGTTTCAACAGAGATGATGAAAAACTCTTTTGGACTCGCAGAGATTTCCAAACAGTGGCTTACATTAAAAAACGTAGAGAGAAAACTATGTTCCAGGATAAAATCCAAAGCGGGCTTAAAAGCTGGAGCCAGTCACTTAGTTGTATAGTGGTTGGAGGGAACTTCATATAGTTGTCACTGCCAGAAGAGCCTGCCCCTAACAATCCCATACTGCGAATATCCCTGATTAACTTCATCGTCTAACTGAACTCTCCTCATAAGGCACAAGACTGGCATTTTGGCAGCAAACCAGCTTTATCTGCTGCCTAAGTGGTTTTCACAAAGTCTGCCCGCACAGGAAATGTGTGTCCAGAGAGTCAGGGCCAATCTGAACTCGGCAGTGAGGCCACTGGTTAGCGCAAAACAGGCCAACAGTCTGAAGTTACAATTTGGCTCTGCTGTTGCTACGCTTGAGGGATGAGATAGCTTCCTACTACTGGGCTTAGGAAAGGACCTGGCATGGTATCGGATCATCTCCAGCTTTAAGAACAAAGCACGCAATTGAATCAAATCTCCTCTAAAAGGCAGCTGTTGACAGAACAGGAAAGCTGTTCTTCCATCTCAGTCGTCCTTTGGCTTCGGATATTACAATCTCTCATTTAGTTTACTGAGAAGACAAAGGCCAAGCACCAGTAACTTTCCTCTTTAGGTCCTTCAACTCTTACCTGAATGAGAGTCTGCCTTTCTGCCTTGGGGAGATTTACGGCTTGGTGTTCTGCTTCCTCCCATTCCTTTTTCACCTGGACAAGAAAAGGACAGAACACATCAAGACGACACAAATTTAGGTCTGACCTTTGCAAGCCAGGTCTGACCTTCACAGGCAGATTCTTGTACAGCCCGGCTGGGTTTTGAAGGCACAACAGAGCTGCTGTGGGGTTTAAACCTAGCACTTAAGTCCTCTGAGCAGCAAGCCAAGTGTCGTCAGTGATTCCTCTCCCAACGCTCTGAAGAAATGAAAATCTAACTGCCACAGTGCGGTCTTATTGTAAGAAACACACAGAGGGCTGGTGACTGGAAAGGAAGTCAGTTCACCATCAATTTGCCCAGAAAAACATGGGCAGCAACTATGCAGTGCAGCACAAAAGACTAAAGCTAGACGCTCACCCGGTCCATGCGGTTGTGGTGTCTGACCTCCAGCTGCTCCTTCGCCTTTTGGAAGCGGGCATGTTCGTTGTCATCAGCTGGGGTTTCAAAGTAGACATCCACATCATCGGTTGGCACTGCAAAGAGAAGGTAAGGATCAGCGGAGGTCCAGCAAAGTGTGATCCTGGATTGCAAAGGACAGGTAGGGAGAGGAATCTCCACGCCTGCATAATTAACAATCTGGCAGGCTGAGTTTACTGAACCGCCACCTACCAGGAGTCCATTTTGGTATCTTTAGGCTGCCAATTTACTGCACAACATCAGTTAGTTACATCATCCCAAAAACACCGTAATGCACTGCGGCAACCAGCACCTGTTCGGTCTTCTCATTAGTTCTGAGACAAGCATTATTCAGCTCCAGCAACAGAATGACTTGGATTGCAGAATAAGGAACTTGTTTTCTCTTCCCTTTCACCTTGGCTTTGGGTAGTTTAAATGACATTTTGTGCATTAGCTGTTCGCTGACAAGCTGGCTCCAGTCATCATTAATACGATGAGGGAGCTCGACAATAAATCTGCACAAAACGCTACCCAATATTTTACACTTCAAACCTACCTTCCCTACCAGATGCACCATGCAGGACTAACAGGCAATGATATTAGACAAGACAGCAACAGAAGGAGGCTCAGTGTGACAAATTCACTTGTCCAATAAACTGAACAGTTTGTATCTTTAAGACATTCAAATCCGACAAGGGCAGAAATAAAATTTCAGAACTGACAATTTCAAGCATCTACAAAATCCACGACAGGGGCTCTGTACTCCACATACTGCAGTTCAGGAAACGCTGAACAAAGTTTCTGCGCTACAGTTCTAGAAACTACACACCCCAGAGCCCTTTCTGAAAGGATCTATGGCAAACATGATGCGCTCCGTTGTTGTCCTTTAGCAGAGGGAGGGCAGAAAGGGAAAGTTAAGGCAACCTTTCAACCATTTTAGTAATTTGGGTGGGAAAAAACCCTCCAACGCATCACTGAAAGACAGTACGCTTCAGAAAAAAAATTTACCTTGCAGCTTAGCATGCACCTGAATCCACCAAGCTTTGCTCTAACTAGGGAAGGAGGAGTGAAGCAGGGGAAAGAACTGTTGTGTGCAAGGGACAGCGTCAGATCAGTACTGTATTCTGGGCCTGCTCGTGGCACTTCTGAACCAAGCCTGGACACAGAGAACTCTCTTTCCAGCCCCAAATCCCTCTGTAACAGGACAAACTTTTGTACAAAAAGCTCCCGACATCCGCATCTTTTATTTCACCACTTCAGTTAGATCAGCCCAATCTAAAGCACTTGCATGAAGCCCATTTTGTAAATAGGATTATGGCTGTACAGTCAGACTGCCAAGCCCCAGATAACACAAAAAGCCTTTCAAAAGGCTTTAATGGTAGCTGAAGTGGAAGTGCTGGAGTTCAACAATAAGATTAATAAGGAGGTTAAAATGTTTTTGGTAGTTTTATCATCTGACATAAAAGCCAGCTGAAATTGGTGCCAAAAACCTCAAGCTCTCAAAAATGCAGGGATTGAGTCATGATTCATGTTTCACACCGAGCTGAAAGTGGAAACCTGAATCCTATACTACTTCTCTGCTATTTTCCCAAAATACAATAGCAAGAAAATGCTTACTACCAGGAGAATGGTGCTTTTCAGGACCGACTGGTCAAACATATGCACGGTAACATGACTGGGCAAAGAAAGTGCTTCCTTCCGTGTATTTGGAAAAAAAGCCAGTTACGCAAACAAACAAGCGATGTGTTTTCACAAGAGGTCAGAGACAGCCCCTGGTCCTTGCTATAGATCTGGAAGATGACAACTAAGCCCTTAGCAAGAGCTGCAAGCCAACGGTGAGCACAGACAGCATACATCGAGGGCCGCTTTCCTCAGGGAAGTTCACCCTAAAGACCTAGAGAAGCAGAGACAAGAGGAGACCGCTGCAAAAGGACAGACAGAACTGCTGCAGACACCAGAACCAAAAGGATGAGCTACACACGCACCCTCTCTTGACCCAGGCAAGGAGGAGGAGACACCAAACGCCAGACAGACAGAGGCTAGCTGCAAAAGGGCCAGTGGGAGGCAGAACTTACTCATCTTTTTACACACAGCCATACAATACTCCTCTGACTCAAAATTGTTCCTGTTGCCTCCGCAGCCTCCATATATAAAGCGAATGCATTTTCTCTTGTTAGGGTCGAAGTACCAACGAGGCATCACAGCCCGGCAGGGCCCTGTCATCGCCTCCTGGGAGCAGACAGCTGTGTGGAGACGGGTTAGAACATGAGCTAGTGAGGAGCACAGGTCTTGCCGAGCGACTTAGACAAAGCAGCGGTGACTCTAGTTCACACCTTCTTCTGGGGCACCAGCGCTGGCCACAGCATCCCTACTTCACCGACCCAAGGGCTTTTGTCAGTTTTGGGGGGATTTTTAACATTGAGAAAGCATCCACCACAAGGCTTGCCAGCGCTATTCAGAGAAGCGCCTGCACGTGGTGCTTTGGAGCGAACGCACAGCAGTAGGCTACCCGAGCAGTTGTCTCGACATGAAGCTCTCATCTGCTAGAGTGATTTCTCCTTAGCTAGAGGCTGAAACAGCAAGGATCTTAATTTTGCTGATGCCACAGCGTTATGCCCTGGGTGTCCCAGTGGTAGAGCCTCCACTGTATAAAACCAACATGATGGAAAGAAAACCCATTAGGGCTGCATAAAGCATTCAAAGATGTCCTATTCCACTGTGCTCTGCCTGGCCAGACACTTTGCATCTTGAAGGTGAGGTATAAGAGCAAGTGAAAAGGCGGGCTAAGCAAAAGGAACACGATCGCCATGGCAATCTCAGCTGCTAGGTTTTTAAGCTTTGAAACATCTATACGCTAAACATTGAAACTCCAGGTAGCCACAGCACGTGGACCGCTTCACAATAAACGGGCAATATAAGCAGCTAGGTTATTTTGAGGCAAGAGAACAGATACGGCGTATAAGTTAGCAACTGTTCACGGTACTTCGGGGAAAAAAAAAACTGCGTACCCCCAAAACAGACACCTCAATCATATTGTTCCAATTCTGCTTCAACACCTGCAGATCTCTAACAGTCCTGTACATATGTGAGCTAAGTCTTGTTTCAGCAAGTAGAAGTATCTGCAGCATGCTGGCATTTTACCAAAAAGATGCAAGAACTGCTGGCAATGATTCAGTGATCTGTAGCTAATTGAATTTCATTCCCTCTCCCCTCCTCCTTCCTCTGCAGACACTTCTACACGTAAAGTATAGAACATCATATAACGCTGAGGCACCACACAATCGGCAGATGCCCTCTGCAATGGCACCTACCACTTAACAAAAGCTACCGCAAGCACAGTACATATTACTACCGCAGTTATTACTCATATAATAAAATTGGGCCAATTGTGTTGGCTGACTTTCTTTCATGAAAGAGAGGGGTTTGTGCAAAGGCTATTAAGGCAGCACCAAGTATCTTCCTCGACCTTAAACGGCCAGGTGGCACCTTTATGCCACCTCTGCAGAGTATGGCCCACCACTTTTAGCTTCCTTTTCGTAAGCTGGTATCAAACACCAAATCCAAGATAATCACCTCAAACTAGGATTTTAAATCCATAGTGTACCCCCAATGCCTCTTTAATATTTTTCCAAAATTAGCCTATGCAGATATGGTTTTCTGACTCAATGCTGCACCTTCATGGAGGTGCTCGCTCATTGTACCAAACACTGGGCTTTCTGCCAGCAGAACTGCTGTTTATCTGGAAACATATGGCCCATGCTCTAGAGAGTTAATTTCAACACTTGAAACATAAGCATCATCAGCTTCCCTCTGTTTGCTAACTTATCTGGCAAATAAAACTTCCAAGTGGCATTTATTGACTTGATCAAAAACCCATCACCAACTGACAGCCAACAAGAATACTCTCAAGGAAGCAAGAGGCCTGTACGCTCGAATGTGTCTTACATTTCATATCGCTGCTGACTTCTTTTTCGGAAACAGCCTTGTCGTTGCTAGGCTCTGTGGGGGTCTCTTCATTGTAGTCGTCAACTTTGTCGCTATCATAATAGTAATCACGGTCTTCCACCACGTCCTCCTCCTCCTCCCCTTCATCGTCTTCATCCTCATCTTCCTCCACAGCTGTTCCTGTGAAGTCTTCTACACCTGCCTCTGTAGGGAACTCGCTGAAGGGATACAGTTAAGTTAGGGAGGAAAGTTAAGGCTAACCACTTTGCAGCCAACCTTTGACGTAGCAGAATAACGACTCTCCTTTCACCTGTTCTAGCAACACAAGAGATGGGAAAAATAGATGTACCAACTATTGATCGGCCCATCAGTGGCAGCAACGGCACTTCCCTCATTACGGACACGCCTGCTATTCCAGGCAGAGCTTCTCCATGCCTCTGCCTTAGTGGGGTTTCCTTGCATTTTCTCATCAGCTTCTTTTCAGTAAGTAAAAGTCTACCATATTTGGGGGAGGTACCTACTGTAGCAACCAGACAGTCTTTTTGACTGTCTAAGGATGAAGGGAGGGGGGC